CTGTAGACACAGCACCTGACTGTCAGCACCATCTATTGAAGAAATACTGATGGTGTTGACAAAACCACTTTCATACTTTTCATCACATATTAATCATGCTCTAGTCGTGTTAGTTTTATAGTACTGCTAGCGAGGACCTATGAAAGGTTAGAAAAAAATTGCAATTTGTGTGAAGGGGTTCACATATCATGGTTGTGACTAAACATAAGCACAATGATGTAAAAAAAAAAAATCAACAATTATTTGCGATTTATATGATTGTATTGACATATGGTTGTGACAAAATATAAGCACAATTACACAAAATAATAATAATTATTATTAGTAGTAGCATAAAAGAAAATAAAAACTATTATTATTAACATAAAATATTAAAAAGTAATAAAAACTCATCTGAGGCTGTGTGAACTTGTTGAACTCAAGTACTCGTACTAAAACTTTGTTGAAGACTTAAAATTTTGATATTGTTTGATTTAATATTTTTATATAATAATCATAATAATAATAATTATTATTATTATGAAATATTTTCAGTTTTTATGTTGAGGTTGATGTATCACGGTTGTGACAGAAAATATAAGCACAATGACATAAAAACAATAAACAATAAAAAATCATAATAAAATGAAATAAAAATGAAAATTAATAAATAAAAATCAAATAATAAAAGCTAATCTGAGCCTGTGTGACCTTGTTGAACTCAAGCACTTGTCAAGCATTAAAACTTTGTTGAACTTAAAATTTGGATGTTGTTTGATTCAATATTTTTATATAATAATAATTATCGCCGTAATATAATTTGATGTATAAATATAATTAGGCTATCATTATTATTATTATTATCCGTTTTATGTTGAGGTTGATGTATCACTGGTTGTGACAGAAAATATAAGCACAATAAAAAATAAAATATAAATGAAAATGAAAAATAACAAATAATAAATCAAAACAAAATAATAAAAAGTCATAAAAACTAATCTGAGGCTGTGTGACCTTGTTGAACTCAAGCACTCTTCAAGTATTAAAACTTTGTTGAACCTAAAATGTTGATATCGTTAGAATTTTTTATTTTTCATTTATTTATTTTATTTTTGTACATTTTTTTATGTTGACGAAAATATGCGAAGGCTTATAGAAAAGATCAAATTCCAAAAATTAATTAATTAAAAACTATTTTTGGAGTAGGCTAGGGAACCCCGAGCTCAGGATGGATATATTTCCGGGTTGTTGCAGACCCTTGGGAGACTATTTTAGAAAAACTCAACTGAAAAACGGTGCGCTGTGATAACATTGCATGCAGTAGCAAGTTTAGCAGGAGCCAGGCCGCCACTATGTCTAAGGAACTGTCAGTGACCCCGGCAGCTCAGTATGTGGGGCCGTATCGACTGGAGAAGACTCTCGGGAAAGGCCAGACTGGTAAGGAGACGTTGTTTGTGTATTAGGTTGTCTGTCATTTTTCTGCTCCTTTCAAAGCAGTTGTCACTGATGAACTGTCTTGTGCATGTCTGCCATGTCAATATAGGTCTGGTGAAGCTCGGGATTCACTGCATCACTGGCCAAAAAGTAGCCCTCAAAATAGTCAACAGAGAAAAACTCTCAGAATCTGTGTTGATGAAGGTAAAGAAAGAATGAACTCTTTTTGAATGCTGTGGTTTTTGTAAAGTTTTACACAGGCATTAAAATTAATTGTAAATATTATAATATCCTACATGTTAAAAGTATTATGTCAGCGTGCTACAGTAATGCATCAGATACAGTACTGCCTAATTACAGAATATCACTGAGATACTATTATAGTTTTTATAAATATTTAGAATTTTTATTTTCACTGTCAATTTCAAAATGTTAGCATTACCTGAAAAAATCTCGCAAACTTATCGCCTCAGAAAAATCTAGTTAATCTAATCTATATTCAAGTTTACTTAGAAGCCAATTTATGAAAACTTGAATATGATAAGTGACCTTAACTAGGCAATACGTTTTTTTTTCAAGTAAAGTTAACAAATTGAAATACAGTGTATTTTCCATTTTCACTTTAGGAAACGTTTTAGTAATTCATTCTTTGCCATTTTATTCGTTTTTGTCTATATAATTTTCATACCTTTTTATTTCAGGTTCAGTTATTTTTTCAGTTTTTCAAACATTTTGATTAAATGTTTTAAATATTTTATTTTATTTCAGTTAACATTCATTTTATTTTACCTTTTAAGTATTTTTATGGTTTAAAAACAAACAAACAGTTATCATGGCACGTTTATCAAAACAATTAGCTATTTTGAATATGCTATTTATAAAGATGATAAATAGATAATACTATATAAAGATTGGTAAATATAATCTTTCCTTTTTCTCATTCAACCAGGTGGAGAGAGAAATTGCTATATTAAAACTGATTGAACATCCACACGTGTTGAAACTCCATGATGTTTATGAGAATAACAAATACCTGTGAGTTACCTCACTTTTACATGCTTTGTTCTAGGCTTCACTCAACATTGTTCTTCCTGCTCTTTATTTGTTCCTATCTTGAAGCATTTTTTCCACTCTTTCTCTGGCTCCATTCATGCAGATATTTGGTACTGGAGCATGTTTCAGGAGGAGAGCTGTTTGACTATTTGGTGAAGAAGGGCAGACTGACGCCTAAAGAGGCACGAAAGTTCTTCAGACAAATCATATCTGCTCTGGACTTCTGTCATAGTCACTCCATATGGTAAGACACAAATACTCTCTCTCTCTCACAAACTGTAAAAAAAAAAATTACGGTAAAAAAACCGGCAGCTGTGGTCGCCGGAATGTTACTGTAAAAAATACGGTAGCAACGTTTTAGGTTTTACAGTTTTAACTTAAATTTACAGTTAAATACCGTAATTTCATTAACTGATATAATGTTAATATACCAACCTATTGAAGTACTGAAATCTGTTTTGTACCTTTGTAATACACTGATAACCACCAAATGCAGGAGGTGATGAGAAAGTCACATGATGAACCAAAGCCCATCACAAGCAGCTTTTAAATAAAAACATATATAGAAGGTGCACAGCGTCATTCACACAAACACTAAACACCATCACGGTAACACACATGAAACTGAAATAATGCAATAAACATTCATTTAACAACATTAGGTGTAACACACAACTATAATATACAAAACTGATAAGAAAATACTAAGAAGAAACATAGTTATTTCAACAAAAAAACATCAAATTTGAAATGTAACGCAGGGAATTCTGGCAATGTCAATTTTCAAGTCTTTTTCACTTACAAAAATTGTATACTACCGTAAAATTACATGTAATGTCCAATACAGTTTTTCACCGTATATAGTAGGGGAATTTACCGTTAACCATTTAACAGGTTTTTACTGTAGCATTTTTACAGACTTTTACCGTTAAATTCACTGTCATTTTTTACAGTGCACGCACACACACACACAATTCTAAATAGAATAATAT